CCACCGGTGAACCTGCGCAATAACCCTCGTCTCATTATAGGCTACTTAATTAAGGCCCTAGTGAGAAGCGGGTGGGATGTGTAAAAGTAACGATAAATTTGTCACATCAAAAGACGCTTCACTGTAATCCAGTTGTGAGTAAAATTATCTGTTTTTTTTTTTTTTTTTTTTATATTTCCTTTCAGCTGTTCCTCTGCCCGCTCTATGCCGAAGCTTATACGAAGCAAAGGAGTGAGCGGTCGCTTGATGAAAAGCTGAAACGGGTTTAAGCCACTTGTTGAAGAGAAACAAAAGGAACTACTTAGCTGAGCGAGCAGTCGCGCCAGTCACCGTAATGCCGGTGGGAGTAGCTATTGGACCGCCGCGTGCAAGCTGTGTCTCGTGGCCGTCAGAGTATCCTTTCCGCAAGCTTCTGCCAGCTGCAGAATGTCGTTCCTTTCTTGTAGCTGTCATGATCATCGTGGTGGAAACCAACGCCTAAGGGGAAAGCCAAACTGTTAACCTGCTAAGTGTAGGCGATCCTTACGCCGTTAAGGCCGACCATTTCACTAATCCTGAAACTGGTTATTGTCAATGGAAAACAGGAGACCGAATAAACTGCTAGATGGTAACGGTTAATGAACTACTGCAGCTATCCTATAGCAAAGAGCGCCCTTCCTAAGTGTACTCAAATTAGTATTAAGATAAAGTAGTGATAAACTCCGTACACGAAGTTGGGTTTTCGGGGTAACCTCGAATAACATAATACTGATCATGCTCTTAGCAGAATATTACTACGACTAAAACGGTAAACTTACGACAGCTGGACTTTTTTTTTTTTTAATTGAATCGTTAACGTTAAACTCCATACTTTAGGTATTAGTCTTTTAAAAATGACTACTTTTGTCATTGGTTGTTTTTACGTGAGCCAGCATTAGATTTCACCATAGACTTTATGAGGTTACCTTTATTCTGAGTGAAAAATGAACACATTTTATCACTACGCTGTATTTTAATAGAAACGTATAGTCATTTTCTTTACCTGTATGTACATGTGATGCAATGTCCCTCTTTAAACTTCAACCAATTTGCTAGAAAGGTACGCGTACCCCTGTGGGCATTCACTCTCATCCCTCTTCATCAAGATATTTTACATGATAGACCAATTGCACGCAACTATTTACCTTGAAAACAGTGTCAAACAGCGGGAATGCACCTTTTATATACTGAGCGTTGAAAAACGTTGCCAGATCGTAATGATAAAAGGCATCAGACGTTCCCGATTGTCGTAATACTTCCTGGTTCTAATAATGGAAACTTGAGATATGCTGAAGATCGAAATCGGGCAACCGAAAAACCTTATTTTCCCAAATCAAAAACATAGGTTGCTGTTCCTAATTTAAGGCGACAGTAGGTAATCAAGCTGAGCCTCATGAGATATACTCATTGTAAGCAAACGAAGCGCGTTGCGCGAGAGTAACTCTCTTTTTGTCATAGTGTATGAGCTAACAATATTGAAAGTATACTTAAGCTGATGTTCATGTTTAAAATGATCCACTTCGTATAAACAAGTATATCTGAAGCAAATTAATATCATGGGCAATGCCGAAATAAAATCGACACACATCTTAATCTTATTGCAGGGAACAATTAGCGCAAGCCAGTTCTAGGGGATCATTCCGCCCCCGCAAAAGTGTAGAGGTAGCCTGTTTTACTATTAAACATAAGGACACGTTCTGGGGGTCTGGGTTCGAACACAGGCGTAAATGCACTTCGTCTCATGCTGGAGGCAGCCACTCGTTCTTAGCAACGGTTAACGGCACTACCGGGCGTAATGTTCAGAACATTGATTTTAGTTCTAGAAGGATCGCCTAACTTCTTTCAGCTTTCCCCCATATTAATAGCCTTAGTATTAGTATAAAACTGACACATTTAACGACTTAGGTTCAATTGGAAAAAATCTGACAAAAACTCATAGATTCATCCGACATCGGGACGTCGACCAGTCTCGAGAAAGCTTCGTCGTTTGACAGCTAAGATACCAGACGAATAAGATCACTCTCCACAATATATATACGTGACTCATATGATTAGAGCTTGGGTTGGCTGTTCAAAAGAAGTGAGCGCGTTTCGGATAGAGTGAGGTCATGGGTGAGCTCGTGCAAATGATAAAATAACGGTAAAAGTCAGTTCTCCTCAATCAATGTTTTTGGGTTACTCTGGTACCACGAATATGCAGCGGCTTTTGGCCTTATCACTAAAAGGTTCAAAAGGGTATTCGTAACAACATGTCTGATAACGGAGGCGACGCCAAAGACCTGATGATTCGTCCGGAGGGAGAGGCAGCAGTAGTACGTCCAACGAAAGACTGGAAAACTGACTGGCAATGGACACTAATTACTTTGGTAACGGGTCCATCATGCAATGAGGTCAGAGAGCCCTGAGATTCTCGGAATAAGGTAATTAATGACAAGACGCCTATCAGATACAAACCCCTATCCAGAAGCGCTCTGATAGGTCAAATGGTTGATTTGTGCGAAAATTGTGGATTGATGTCGGATGGAGAAAAAAATTATGGATAAAAAACATGCAAAATAAGCTAAAGCAGCAAAGGTCGATTGTACATATAATATGACATTTATTATGTGCTTTTACTGATTTGCCACAAGTGTTGCTTTGTCTTTAGTAAGTCGTGTGTATTATTTGATGGTTGAAATGATCCTTACTCTTCAAAAAAACGGAGTGTTCAAGCAAAACAGGGACACAGCCTTAATGTTAGTAAGCTGACTTGTGTATAGCAGTCGAAATGATTCATTTAAGAAGTAATATCTGTGGAGCCTAAACATAAGTGGTTCCTGACTGATTATGTACAGACTTTCATTCTCTGCTTTTACAGCTAGAGACTACACAGGTAATGGGCTGGCGCGATGTATCAGGTCTCTGTACGCCCTTGTAGATGGGCCTAACACTCCCTTTTTGAGTCAAACGCCCGGGTAAGATATATAATTAAGTCATTAACCAAACCGAGTGTATAACGAATCTCAATAAACGCCATTATCCTTTTGTAACAAGTATATAGTCTATACTCTTGTTTTTTTGTTTAAATCTATTTTACCCTAACACTTCGAAGCTATTTCGATAGCGAATTGAAATATTTTGCATAATTCCCCAACAAGGTCTTCTGATTTTCTTGTTATTGACGATACCTGAAAGTTTTCTTTGTTTTTTTTTAAATGATCTTCGCAGCGGCTCTAAGAGCCCAAAGTCAATAGCTTTCATTGAAATATGTTTTCACCTTTGTGAATCCTGATTGCTTAAGCACCGCGATTGCCTCCGAGATATCTGAACACCTGAGCTTGTCACTTGTCAACCCCACATTGACAAGCAGATCCTCCCCATCTGATGTTGTCCCAGTTACATCGATGAGTTAAGCATCCTTTAGCTATGGGATTTTCGACACATTAGAAGAGTGAATGAATTTTATTTTGTAAGAGATAACAACTAAACCCAAAATAATTTTGTTTTTCCATCTGTGACCTTATATTTTAGGTGTAACTACTGAATAAATGTAAGTCGTCCAAAAGAAAAATGTATTACCTTCGTAAGCAAGGAGCTCGACTTCTATACTTTACTTTCTGTTGATAAGGTTTCAATAACAGAACTCCAATAACTTATTCTGATGACTAATTTTATGTTAGTTTTACACATATGGTAGGGTCCTACATGCTAATCAATAAGTTTGCTGCTGTGTCAAGAATCAAATGTGCTAGAAAGGTCTGAGGCTTCTAAGAAGCTTTAAAGTTTAAACTAGTTATCGATAGCTAAGTAAACACCAACTTTGATCTTCCCATTACTATACGGTCCTAATAACTAGATTTTTTCATCAGCAGAATCCCTATTGCTACATGTGTAATAATCTTCTCCATTTTTCTGCTCTTAATTTATTGTCGTAGAAGCTTTCTGGTGCGGATTTTCGCGTTGAAATTTGTACACAATGCGTCAGATTGCCACGTTGCGTCATAACCGCCTCCCAGCATCATCCACAAAATCCTGCTGCTTCTAGTGCTTTAGATGTTTTTAAGACATATCGTGTCCACAGCTTCTTGTCTCTTTTGTTTACACCGGCTAGCGTCCTTATGAAGTCCTGCATTTCCCAGCCACTCTTGGCTGAGCTCCCGCGTGCTCACCACCCTCTGTTTTTCTGAAGTAGACTCGATACTGTTATATGTAGATACAGTACCCCATGTGCCGCGCAGAGTTCGCGTTCGTAAAGTCAAGCCTTCGGAGAAAGAGCTGACCAGGGGTTGAGGGGACTTTCGGGCTGGGCAATCAGAGGGGGAGTCTGCCAAAGGAGCTAGGAACAAGGCAGCGCACCTCCTGAGCACCTCTTTACTGCTGCTCCGCTGTTCTACTTTCCTCATCACCAGTGCCACCCCCACTGCTGCCAGGGGTGTGAGTGCCAGGCGGGCCCGCTTTTTCCTACCACGGCCGTATCGCTGATGTGTATGCTTCCGTGTGTCCATGTTTGTGAGTTTAAGCGTGTGTGAGTGTGTCTGTGGGTGCTCGCGTATTTTCCATGCGCTCGCCGTCTACCAGGAGTAGTAGGAACAGGAGCGTTCCATTCTTCGATGTGGTTACCGATCAAAAAGGACATTCTGCTCCATCGTCCTCCTGCCACCCGTCGTGTTTTCTTCCTGCTACGGCTGCACCTGTGCCCCCAGTGGCGGGAGGCGGAGCTAACTCGACCCCGCCCAGCTCCTGGTCGGCGGCCAATGGATGCTCGACTTGCCCAGAGTCTGTCTGTACTGATCAGCCCATCTGCACTCGAGCCGCGTTGGGCTGGGCGACCAGGCAGTTGCTTGTCGCCAGTTGCTTTTGTCCCGTGTCTGTCTGTTCCTGTAAACGAGCAGTAGCGCTTGCCTTTACGATCAGCTTGTCCTGTTCTGTCGTCATCGCCGGTCGTCGTCCTCGTCTTGCTGCCAGAGGTGGTCCTGATCCTCCTTGATGTCGTCCTCCTTCTACTGCTTGTCCTCCTCCTACTTTTCCCGCCGGCGGCCGCCTCTTTCGATGTCGTCCTGGCTTGGTCATTCTGCGCTCAACCTGCTAGCCCATTTCGTTCATGTTGCCTTCAGTCACTTGCCATGAAGGCACTGCCAAGGTTGCGACTGGAAGCGCGAGTGCGACAGACTGCTAATCTCGTTGAGCAACCCTTGACACCACGACAACTTACCTCAGAGGGACCTGACGACAGAAACGACAACATCATTCAGATATAGGACGGACGGTGGCCAATAAGACGAGACCAGCACAAGCTGTAACATCTCGCACATGCGAGACTAGTGAATTAACAAAGCAAGCCGGTACACCGCCCCCCAGACCCAACAACAAAACGAACTGTCGTTACATTCTGGGTGCATTAGTATCTGCCCGTGGCGGTAACCAAATAAGGGCGTCAATGAATAGGTTTGCGTTCCGTCAACTGACAGAAACAACAACAACAACGGCCACGACAATAACAACAATAACAATAACAAACTGATCTGGACAGTGTAAGACTGACAGCGTGCCTGATAAGCAAAAATAGAAAATTGATGACCGAATGTGTGCTTTTTCCATGTTGTGTATCTGGATTGTGACACGATTGGGTTAACCAACGTGAGGTATCTTTTAACGTTTTATTGTGACTCAAACGTGACGAGGTACGTATTTAAAAGTACAGAGCTACGTATTATTAACTATACTAAATGATTAGCTTACTGCACCAATAGTGTGACATATGTATAGCATAGATCAAACTTACTGTACGAGATGAGATAGTGGTAAGGTGAACTTCAATTTGTTCGTCTTACCTAGGTCAAATAAATGTTGCCTGATTTAGCTAAGGCCTAATTTCATTAGATGAAATGTTGATGACGATTGCATAAATCATCGCTGTTGAAACGGTATCTTTTAACATGAATTTTCCAATTATTCTATTCCAAGTTCGCTTGCTCCCTTTCCATTCTTTACGTAGTCCTAGTTCTAATCCATTCTTTTACGTAGTTCTCATGTCCTTGGGCAACCTAGCTACATAGTTATTCTGTTTCAAGGCCTATTTACCTTAACATTGTAATTAGTTGTAGCTATATCCTTTAAGACCTGTGTGATATGTAAATATTGATGAAAGCAATCTTCAGGTTAAGTTAACTGAGGAACGATTCTGACCATGTCGTCCCCCAAACAGGAGTCCATGGATGATATGACTTGAATAAATATATGTTTATTCTTACCCTAAAGCTAAAAAATACATTTATAGGTTCATCAAAATGGTATACCAAACTTCCGTCACGCAAGAAGAAGGTGCAGGTTTTATAAACTGCGTTTCTAGCGTTCAGCACCGTTGACCGTATCCTACAGTGAATACAAATGTTTTTTTTTTCGCTAAACGTTGCAATGGCTGATAAAGTGGAAGTCTCAAATCGCCAACGTTTACCCTGAAACTTCCTGTTTTAATGTAACGATAAACTGCCAGAAGGGAGAAATGAGGATCTGGTTCAAAATGGGGGTTGCTAAGAACAGTCGGCTACATTCTGTAGATACACCGCGTAATAAACACGTTACCTCCGCTGAAGAAGCGTTGTAAGAAGTTGCGTCGGATTAGTTTAAATTGATAACGAGATTATATTGTATTACATGGAGCAATTTTGATGTGAGAGCTCTTTTTATGGGTTCGTAACATTGGTTATAGCCCGAATACAGAACGAAGTACAGTTTGATTGTCGTAGCTCAATAAAGGTTTTACACACCCAATTTAAGGTACCCCATTTCTCTGTGAACGTACTGCCGATGTTATTAAGCCCCATTGCCTCCACACATTTGACGTTAAATGTGCGAAAACATCAGTCACTCTTTTAAAGAAACAAAAGGTCAGTGCTTCGATCAAAGCCAACTTCACTATGACATCATTATCTCGCTTTATTAAGTTGCTGATTTAAGTCTTTAATGTAATTTCTTTCTTAGTACTGACCTGACATCTTTAGTTAACTACAAACGACATAAGCAACTAAGAAATTCAAAATTTCAGCCTGATTAAGTTACTTAACGTCATTGTGACATTTACCTAAAATAGCATATTTACTGAAGGAGTGATTTCTTGTTGTTATTAATAGTTCCTACATGCTGTGTCGCACTAGGTCAAAACAACAAATGGTGAACATTTCGTCGGTTTGTCTTATCCTAAAATTTCCTACATTCCCCTACAGACCGAATCAATATAGGCGACAATAGCAGCAACAAAGGCTTCTAGCAAATCATGAACTTACGATCATTCTGTATTCATAAAAGTAGTTTAATACAATTCCCTATCAGGTCTCCGACTAGGGTTCCACGTCCTCGCTTTTATGTTCCTACTGCGGCTCAGCACCCCCTTGTGTAATCGTCAAAGTCAACTACATATAGTTCATACCTACACTTTACCGCTTTCTGAATCGACAGATCGGGGATGTTCCCACCAATGGTTTGTTGCTGGGAGGGTGGTCGTTTCAAGGTGGGTGTGCAATCGAACAATGATTGACTTCTGATGTTTTAGCCGAATAAAAGTGGGTGTTTCGATCCTCTCAAGAAAGGAAGTTCTACTGATCAAACCCAAAAACAGGCAGATGGATAATGTCGCCCGCGGCGTGACAGGCGTTACTGTTGAACTAGACCAAGATTTGCTCTCATCATTAAAGAAGTAATGTTATTTTAATTACTCAATAGTTTAGAAAGTTTCCTATTTTAAGTATTTCTTTAGTTACGTTATACTGCATTCAGCTATTTCTATTTTTGATGGCATCATAGTGTTTTATGTCGGATGCGGGTCGACTGTGAAAGTACGCTAAAGGTAGTTACGGCAGAAAACCTTCTCGTTTGTCTCAGGATATGTTAAATAATTATGTCATACGTATGGAACGTACGTTTTTAGAGTTACTTCGGTCACATTCGGAAAAGGTTCAAGGTAAGGGGGTTCGACTGGATCCTCTCCCCTTCAACATTTAGATTATGTCAAGACGAGTATACTAGCAGAAGGTATGCATAAATATAAAACTGCTGCAAGAAACGGGCGCAAGTAAAGCGCAAAAAATCGAGTGCGTACTAGTTCAAGTTAATGACAGCCTTATTAAAGTTGTTGCTAAAGTACCTTAGATATTTTTCCCTTTATGTCTACTGAGAAAAGTTATACGCATCGAGTCAAAAAACGCATCAAAATATAAATTCTTTCTTAAGAAGGAAAGTCAGTGACGAATCGAGGTGTATCTTTTCTTTTTTATTGAACCTGTCATCTACTCTAAATCCATATGCGCTGTTAACCATGAACAAGTGGAAGGTAACTGGAGAACGACATCTGCAGTCAAGAGATTGTTGAAGATGATGTTCATTGCACAATGAGTGCACACGATGAGGGATGATAAACCCCCACACACAGGCACAGTCCTTCTGTCTGTCTGTCTTTCTCTCTTTTTCTTCATTCCATATTCTAGACCAGCACGCCAAGAGAGACCTCACTACCGCAACCCCGCGAGATCCAAAAAGACCTACCTCAGCCTCAGAGCCACACTATGCATCGTGTTTCTGCCTCGTGTTCTATCGTTCTTGCGAGTACAACCGCATGGACACTGACTTCTGAATTTAGGGTGGATGCGATTTTGCTGTTGCAGCTTCGGCTATTCCTATATTGCTATTGCTATACCGGTTGTAGATGGTGTGTAGTACCTCGAAATTCGCCCAAGAATGATCAGTGAAGCGCGAAGCCCCCACCGCCGCCGTCTCCCCCCGCGTGCTTACTCGTTCAAGTTCGAGGCATATCTGTATGTGAAGTAGTTTACATCGAACGCACTCATACTCACACACTCGCAAGGGAGATTCGGCGAGGGAAAGTCCACGGGGACAAGTTTGCGGGCGGATAGCATCATTCGAATGGAAAGAGGCTGACGAGAACTCGTGAGGTGAGTGAGCTGTTCCATCCTTTCGAGTCCGCCCCGAGCGCGCGAAGATTCAGTCAGTGACTCGGTGAGAGTGAATGAGTGCGGATAAAGTGAAGCTAGTGTCAGATAGATGTACATAGGGCAGCAGTGCGCCGCCTGAAGGTTGAACTGCGTGAAATCAGATGCACCCGACCGCCGGCCCATTGCTAGCCACAACCACATTCGATGCAAAAGCTCAATGAGCCGAGATGGGGCGACCACCCTCAAGTGGATTAGACCCCCCTGACTAAACCCAGTCCGCTAACCCCCTGCGTAGGCACCGCTGCCAAATCTCACAGTTTCTTTCCCTTTTATTCCCCTTCCCCGATCCCTCACGAGGAAACAACCGTACACCTACATGTAATTAATACTCTATACGACGCTATATATATCACAACCTAAGCACGAAAGCGTGCGCTAAGACGGTTTTCTCAGCGCGCAAGCAGAAGGAACGGAGCTCTAAGTCCTGAGCCCCAATCGAATAGCTATGGTGTGACAGATCGGAGTCTCAATTTAAGGTCTGCGGTCAGACGACACTGCCACGACGAACAAGGCCCCGACGATCCACATCGCTCGAGCCGATGTAGGGTGACGTTTGCGCTTGATCGTCCGCCTGTTTGGTTCACTCTTTCATCGCTATGGTTTGTCGAGGAAGGCCGCGGCGACGGATGAACCCAGGTGCGCACTTCGTGATCGTTATGGTGATGATGGTCGCCGCTCCGGGTAGTTCTTGTAGATATTAATAAAGAAGTGCGCTAGGTTCAATCGAAAACGCAAGTGCCACGCTGTGAGGGTGGGGATGATGAAACCCCGCATCGTCGTGAAGAGAGATGACTGTGTCGCATTGAGTGGGATACTCAAGTGCAAAGAGAGCCTCGACAAATCGCTCGACAGTGATCAATCTGCGGTGAATGACTCCATCAACAACCAGCTGAGATCCACTAACGATTCCGGATGAGAGTTTACAACGATGACGATTTAATGGCGATTACGCCATATGGGAGTGTATAGCTGAGTCTTCCGGTGTTCACTCCTCCTGGCTCGTACACCTGTTGACTGGAAAAGGAAACAGGAGTGACGACTTCGCAGCTGCGGAGTCAATATAAGTAGTAGTGTAGCGTAGATGGACGTGTGAATGCGATGGACTGCCTTGTTCTGCAAATTACAAACAACGACCTTTCACCGCCGCATAATGAGATATTGCCCGGGCTGCTTTTTCCACTTGAACATCCTATATCTCTGATGCTTTATCGAAGGGGCCTCATACGGTTCATTTAATTGACACGAAGATTACTGGGTAGACACTGAGGTAATTTGCTGAATTCGCTTTTTATCTTTCCTGAAGGTCTAGGATGCCTGAATTCGATGTAGTTGTCCTTAGTCGATGAGGGATAAATCTAGAATTTTCAGCTTACACGCATGGTTCAGTAAAGGTGTATAAATTCTAACCTCTAAATCATAAGGTTGCTTTTAGATATTCCGTTTTCTTTTAGATGGTACTGTCTGCCCCTTTGCATATATATAGCCTCGCAGAGAATTAGTAAAGTGGCAAACGTACGTAAAGCGAAATAAGCCCAAAATGTAGAAGGTTCAATGACCATAAAACATACTTTGCTTTTAGTACGATTCGATATGTTGCAGAAAATAAACATTGGATTAAGCATATCTACCGTATACGAAGATCGAAATCATATCACTTGATTACTACATCCCTCCTTAGTGTGTCCTCTGTTTCTGAGTGCATATTCTGTCATCGAAGCGGCAACCGTAAGCCTTAGCACATTCACGGATCAGACCTCGTAGGGGGTAAAAATCATCGCAGGAGTCTCTTTTGAGACTGATGCTGTTCTATGCGAATCTGTTTCGCTGGCACAAAAACTCTTTTGCATCTAGACCAATCATACTTCGTAATAATAAACTTAAACTGTTTCAGCTGCTCTCAAGACAGGGTCAACACAGAGCATCATATACTTCAGGCCCTAGTACTAATTGTTCCTGCCTAAAGCTAGTGCACAGAGCAGTGATGAACAGGATCTCACTGCGGAAATCGGATATACTCATATGGTCACTATAGGCAGCTTTTTCGGATGTCCTTTCTGAATTCATTTTGCGACCATATCTCCGCCAAACATACCGTCACCGATGGTTAAAGGCGACTTGTTCGTCCTACTGGCCCGTCTATTCGACGACATTATAAACTCTGCTTAGGCGCCACACAAAGCCTTTTGCACAAAGGCTCAGAAGTCCTATATAATCAGCCCACATAGGTAATTCTTTTTCCCTTCATTTCTCGTCGAGCTTAGTCTGTACAATGCTAAACAATCATATTGAAGTGCTACTGCAAAAACGAGTCAGGGCCATATCTGTATAGAAAAATAAGTCCTTCAATCCCCAACCTAAAATGCCCCGTGACTTCTTGTTCTGTAGTTTCTCTGCGCATTATTACGGGAAACGTAACGTGAAACGCTCGCTGTCCAAGGCTTCATATGTATTCTCCGATATTGTCAGCATATTGATAACACTTCATTGCCATAGAAGAGGTCTTTGCTTGGCATATTAAGCATTCAACGATTTTATATCTCAGGTAAAGTCCGTCCCTTTTATATGCGACTTTATAATCTCTGTGCGTCTAGCGCGGACGCTTTTCAAGGGCGTAAAGTACTCTTTCGTTGCTCGCCTTGGTTGACTTTAGCAGAATCCCCTGTCGACAGATATGAGGCTTGCGCGCGGCCACTTTTCTATAGAAATACTCTATTGAACATAGGATGTCTGTACTGGTTTTTTGCGTAGTTATCCGGAATCGGTTAGCCGGCGTACTCAAAACTGACCCAAGATATTAGCCTTGCTACAGCCGTCTCAACCATCATAGAAACTTGAAAACTGTTCCTACAGGTAGGTCAGACGAAGTTACCTTGTAGATCAGCAAACTTACTATCGACAATCAGAAAATTTTCTTATGCTAAGAACATTTACACGCGTTCGCCAAACATGTTACTAAATGTATGGAGCATTTGATTTGAAGAAAAATTGTATGTTTAACATAAATGGCGTGTTTCTTAAGTAATCATATGGGCTTGTCTATATGTGAGCAACTAAATAGCGCTCGTCAGTGAGAGTCGCTGTACCATCTAATACAGGCGCTGACCGTCTGTCCACATTGAGCGGATCGTGTTTCCAGACCTTTTTTCCTGTATGGTGTCGACGAAGACATTGGTCGCCAGATGGCCAGCGTATAGAATCAATCACATCGTCTTGGTAGTAACTCTGATTTACCTTTGCACTACCTGATACTCGGGAGTCAGCCTTAGCCTCTGCTAAATCCGGATTATCGCGGATCAGAAAATGAATAAATGAAACCGTTGTTAGATTATCACGGTACAGCGCTGCGAGGCAGATCTTAGCAGAGCTATGATAGACCATACACAAGCGGGCGGCAAGCGAGGATCAAGTGATTATGGAACGAGGGGAACAAAGTTAACAACCTTTCTTGCCCATGTTTCAGCTAAATACGAACGGAGACACAGTAATACAGCCAATATTACAGCATTGACCGAGTATGTCGAGAAAAAAAAAAGAGAAAAAGAAAATGAATCTACCATCCTGTGCATTTGCGCATCTTAATCATTGAGAAATGTTTGCTTCACACTAGAAGTTCCCGCAAGGAGCGTCTCATTGGCCAAGCCTATGTGTTGTAGACGGTCCGCGTGTATAGTGTTTTACATGCCGTACATGGTTCGTAGTCTGATTGATTGACTGACGTTAGCAAGATCAACATCATTTAAATGGCACCCAACATCTTTTTATTGCTATTGTCTCATGCCGCTGGTTCATTACATTACTAAGTTGAATATATTTGATCATGCCAGAGCATTTTGTACTTTAGGCGAATATGTTTTTGCACTGGTTTTCAACCGCTTTAAAAATCGTATCTGCGGTGGAAACCGACCGTGAGTATTGTCCAAATAATTATTACTAAGGAGCTTAGGGATCTTTTTTTTTACTAGTAAATTCAGCCCTATATGTTTGAGTTGAGCATTACAATAACTCTACCTAGACATTGTTTTCAAAGCAACTGAGGTAGTATCGAGCTCGAGAAAGTGACTACTATAAAATCACTATTTCATTCGAGAGTTTTATAGATATGAAAACGGCTTTAGATGTAAACTGATCTTACCTATCTTTATTTATTGGCTGCATGATGATAACGGTAGAAAATTCTGAAATAGGTAATCAAGGTAAAATATAGGCCTTTTTCTGTTTTGCAGGGATATGGACCCTAATGGCCCTCTAGACGTTCACGGCCGTGTTGTTTGTGATCGTGCCCTAGCGAAGGGCACTCCATTAGGACCGCTCGGGCCGTTGGTGTCGAAAGGATCTAGCCCGGGAGGCCTTGATGCGCTGGCAGCGATTGCGGCCAAAGCAAAAGACAATTATCCTGACGTCGATAAAAGCACAACGCTGCCTGTGAGTACCAGACTTTATAACGACTATGCCAATATATACACACTAAAACAACTCCTCATTGTTCCCATTGTTTTGGCTTATTTGAGTTTATCCAATGCCATTAAATGGAGGGTTTAGGGCATCGAATGCAAAGAATCCTTTCAATATGGGATGAGATAATTTGCGGTGGCAACGCCGCAATTTTTTTTCACAGAAGCAGCCTTTTGCCCTTCTCTAAGGTTTGGAATAGAGGGGGTAAATATTCCAAAAAATTGTCTTTTCCATACGCGACCTGTGCGTTCGCTCCTCTAAGCCAAGAGGAACTTGGCGACTCTATCTATTTGCATGGAGCAAATAGATCAGATAGCTACTTCGTCAAGCTTAGCCTCTCCCTATCAAGTAATACATACGACCGTCTGTATATAGATCCCTATGCTCTTGCTGATAACCTCCTTCCTTCAAAAGCGCTGATTTGCCCTGTCTTTTTGTCGAAGACTAGCACATAGTTTGCGTTGAACACACTTCGTTGTGTAGCGGAGAACCATTGTCATCACGCTGATCGTCAGATATTCGAACAGAGCGATGTCGGTGCTGCGTATCGGGGAACTTCGATGTTCCCTTCGCCTCTGAGTCTCTATACATGCGCAGCAAAGATAAGATTCAATATTTCCGAAAAAACGGTACCACAGCATTACTCTTTAGCACCATTTTGTTTCCCGCGACTCCCAAAATGCATATCCTTCGCCACCTTTTTGTCCTAGCGTACGGCTTATTTTTCCCTTTTAGCTATCTAAATTTCTAATCTCCGATTCAACACCATTAAAAGAATCCTATACCGAAGAGTGAGTATAAACGACCACCTTGTTTGTAATACATAGTATTATGTGGCTTTGGAGAAGTGAGGGGATCATAGCAATGTGCTTACTACGTTGAATAAAAATAGGAGTCACCGTTACATACTATGCAGAGCCGCGCTACGCATATTTTACGCTGTTTCCTTCCAAATATCTTCACTGAAATTAAATTTGGATTGAAGAAATCTTTAAAGTTATAAAAAAGTATTGTTAGCTATCGGTACGATTTATGAACTAACGTGTAAGTCGATAAACCGGAAACAGGATCTCTGGATTGATAAACTATGTTGCAAATTTCACACAACGAGTAATACTTGGAAAGGCTTCATCCTTTGCCATCATTGACAATACCTTTGTGGAACCGTGGCTCGCACCTCGCTCCCCCTAGCGTCGTAGCTCTGACGCCGGTATGCGATCACGCCGCTTGTCTGCTATTGTTATTGCAGTACTCCTTAAAATGCAAAATTCACAGAAGCGTTGGAGCATTACTTTGTACCGCATCAAATATCTTCTGAAGAATAAGTAAAAGATGGAGGGCCTAATCTTGTCTTGCCCTTGCAACGGCAGATATCTTCATACAGCCACCGTTTTGAGTCCACGCCAGTGTGTACGCTCCGGAGGTCAGCCGGCATCAATTGTGGATACCGTAACTCGGGTTGTATACTTAATAAGGGTTGCAGCCAGCCGAATATTTCTTCTAGGTTCACATCATGCGTACAACATATCAATAATACACCCAGAGCCACAGAGCAATCGTAGCAGGGAAGCCGATTTTGGGCCGTGCATAGAGATCTTCATTAAGCTTTCCGTTTGCACGATCTTTCATAATGTATCGTGTATTAAACTGATAGATCATTGTCGCACTTTACTCAATTCATTCATGTTTTGTTTCGTATCGTATTATATGTGACAGCTCTCAACGTGTCTGCTAAGTGGTGATCATTTGTGGCTCCAAGGGGTGCGCACGGCACGCTTTGCAGAAGAGCAGAATGTCGAAGTTTCGATCATTGATGGGCAAATCCAGTTCCGGACAATTCGCGATATCCCACCAGGCGAAGAACTTCGAGTTTGGTTTGGCGTGGAGTTCGGCCAGATCCTTCGGTTGCCGGCATTCGCCTCACTCGTTCTACCAGATCGTGAAAAAAAGTACCGTTGCATTTTCTGCGGAACCAACTTCAACTATCCATACCCGATGATTGGCCACATTATGTACCGGTGTCCAATTCGAGATTCGAATCAAAACACGCAAAGCAAGAGTCACGAGCCAACGCCGATGTCTTCACCCACGCCGCCATCTCCCCCTGTCCTTTCACCACCGAGCAGAATGATCTCACCCGGTGAATAATTTTTGGCTTGCTTTGCTATGTTTGTAGTAAAAATTCAAAACTAAATTAACCAACGCACTTGTAGACGCTTCCTATTTACTTTTTCCCTCGCTGTCACTTTTTTGAAATTCATTTCTTTAGTAAATCGCTGTCGACAATTATTTTTCGTAGCATTTTTAGTTAGCACTATTTCACTTGCAACTGATGTCTAAACTGGCACGGTTCTAGGGCTTTCCGGATCGACTCCGAATTCCCCCTCTACGACGCCTCCTAGTTTAAGTCCGGGTTCGTCATGGGCACCCTCCGCGACTGTTCTGCCCATAATTCAGGCAACGCAGAAGACGAAGCGCTTCAAATCGTTCGATATTGCTACTCTAACGGACGAAGGTGATGGAGAGGAAATGAAAAAAATAAAAAGCGAAGAAGAAGTTAGTACGGACGCCGTAATAACTACGCTGAATCTTGGAATGGGTCTCAACATGGGCCTCAACATGCATCAACCAAACCCAGGTCTTTTAAATTCAGCTCAGTTGCCCGGTCCGCATCATTTCTCATCGTTTACACCTATCGGGGCTTTGACCAACTCGGCGGCGATTTCAACACAACTACCTTATCACGGCAGTAATGGTAGGCTACTCTGTTTATGATTAGCATTTCTGATCTATGCAGCCAGAGAACAACAAAGCATTTATGAGAACAGACATGTTTCGGAATGACAATGTGGCCTACCCATGTATATCTATGCGAAGATGTCCTTAGAAATAGGTCCAAGGAAAAGGATTTTTAAAAAATATATTGAAAATTGATTTCATCGCTGGTCAACTCGTTGTACCATACTGACGCTCCGATAGAACTTGATAGCCCTTTCACATATTCATAACTATTCTGGATTTTTTTAGTAATCAATGTTTATTACATATTTATTCTCATACATATATAACTCCAATACGTTCTCCATTGACCAAAAAAGCTGTGGCACACACGGTCTAGTGATCGTCTGGAATTTGCTAATACACCGCCTTCGAGAATACAGTCCTTAGAGTTCCCGGGGAAACCTCTTGTGATAGAAGTACGTCATTAGACCATTGTTACCTTGTATCTATCGTCCATTTTGTTAATTAAACTAATGCATACGATATATATGAAGGTATGCGCCGTGCGACATGCTTACAGTTGCTGCCATTTTTTTCTTCGTTATAGGTAGCCTTCCCAATACAGTGCTTTTTCCTTTGACCGCTCCTACATTACCACAAGCCGTTTCACCACCGTCAGCATCTGCAACAACAGCAGCAGCTGCTCCGTCGAAACCACGAAAAGCTGCAAAACGCGCCAAGGCAAGTCCATCGCCTCCTGCGAATGCCCCTGAACAGGCAGCTCAAGCTGCTTTGCTTTCGTGTCTGCCCCCTTCACTGGCAGCCCTTTCGATGCCGTCACAAAACTGGTGCGCAAAGTGCAACACGACCTTTCGTATGACCTCCGATCTCGTCTACCATATGAGGTAAGAAAAATAAATTCAAATAGGAAATACGCTTTCTTTTTAAAAGTCTGCAAGACCCAGGGAAGGCTTCATCCACTGAAACATATCCCAGAAATAACTGGTTGACGACCGGTAAGAAGTAACTGACATTTTCGTTCTTTTCTGACTAGTGCAGTCTTGTAAGTTGATAGCGAAAAAAACTTGTAGCAAAAAAAAAAACTAAGATAAAGTTTTTCTCAACAGGAAGAAATTATTAATGCTCATTTTCTGTTATTTGCTTGCATGTGTGCCTCACTAGATCGCACCATAAACGTGAAGGGGACCCATTAAAACGAAAGAGGGAAGAAAAACTCCGTTGCCTCATTTGTCACGAAACCTTTCGGGAACGACACCATCTTACAAGACACATGACGAGCCATCAATAGATTAACCAGATGGATCGGTGGGTGCACTGGCAACAATCACCTTGCATATAAATCCGGACTTCGTCCACTTGCCCCGGCAAAAAGTGTGTCGTCTAGAAGAAAAAAGAAAAATGTGTTTTTCTTTATATTGGAAAAAACAAACCAGATTTAGATTGCCAATTAGGCGCACATGCATGGAGGGTAAGCTGTCCGTTTAAAAACATTTGATTCTTATCGAATCGGGTTGAATTCTATATACAACCTGTTTCAGAGCTTGGTTCCGCTAAAAAAGGCGTCCTCAATACGAAGCCATCTGTTTCAGAACCTTGCTCAGGTGCACGAATAAGTCTTAAAATGTTTCCAACACCGTTATGGGATTTGTTCTAAGTAAAAAAAAAATAAATCTAAAACGATCCCTAATGGAAACATTTTTTTTTTAAATTAACACAAGGCCGGTGCTCGAAGCACTACTACCTTGTTCGTGCGTTGCCTCATTTATTCATTCTAAATGAAGACTGGTTACATGATAATCCAAATTTCGCAGTTAACAGTTTTATGTTGCTTATTAAAATCCAATTCCTTCTTCACCGGCCCTGTGAAACTCACGTCTTATAAATGAGACCGAAGTACACTTAAAACTTTGCTCATAATTTTTTTTAAATAGCTGAATTTTTAAGTATATTTTCTGCTGTTGACTTACTGTGATTTGTAGATACTCAACTGCATATACATAAATCTATGACATATAACACGAAAAAACAACCCTGTACAGTGCAAAAAGCCTATCCAGTATCGGGTTATTTATTGATGTTTAAAGAAATATGCATTGTTTGATTAGCCGAACACGTCAGAAGGCATATGTATAAATATACATGTATTTATAGACATAAATCCAATTTGCGAAATCTAGATGCACATGGTTCTGTTAACAACTCAAGCCAACAAGATCTACTAATCTGCTTTCTAAAATTAGCTTTAAACGAAATTTATTGTTTACCAACAAAAATGAAAGGTCTCAAATTTTGCACGCAGTAAAAGCACACATGTTCGCCTATCTGTCGTGAACGGCACGTTAAATAGTTCTGTCAAATAACACACGTAAGTAATAAACTTTCTGGTGGTGCTTTTCGAGCATGTGCAAACGGAAATGTCTCACATAGCATCATTAAGACAAGCATGCAACGCTAACGGCAATGACGACGACTATGAGGCGAGATCTATAAAGTCGGGTGGCCATCATCACATAAACAATAAAATGTCATAGGGCATTGTGTCCCGCCTACAGTCGTCATACGCAGTCGTGTAGGAATGATTTCCCCAGGTTTCTCCGAGCCTTTGACCGCAATTAAGCTTTACTTTAGGTAGCATGTGGGAATCTGACTTGGAAGCATGAAAGTAAATAACGACAGACAACATTATATCGATCGCATGCGGCCAGTACCGGCGGTGCCCCGTTGTAAGAAATAAACATTGCATCAGAATAGCAGATATGAAGGAGTACACCTATTCTCTACCGGTATAGTCTGCCGTATAACAATCGTCATAGATGGACATAAACATCACCCTCTCAATCTCGTCCCTTCAAAATAAATGAAAAAAAAAACAAGTTAACGTTAAAAATAAATAAGAAAATCAACTGCACTAAAACCCCTAATGTGGTTGCGTTTAATTAAATATCTTAAACGGTAGAATACACATATTATAATTAATTATTTTCATTTAATTATGAAATATATCTTTGAAAAAATGATACATAACGGCAGCATCCCTTACGAACAAACTAGATAGATAGTACGATCACCGTTGGAGTCGGTCCTATACGAAGAAGAAAATTTTACCATCGAAAATTGAAAAATAAGTACAGAAAGATTGTTCAGGTTCATTAATTTTGATTATGAAAAATCGATCAAAAATAGGAGACGTCGATCTGTTGTTTATCGTCGGTTAACAAAACGTTGTTAATTAAAGAGTAACCCTTTATTTTAAAAATTGTACGCCAGCCTGGATTGCACTGTTCCGGTTCTAGTCAAAAAGTGTAGCAAAATTTGTGACTTTAAGTTGCCCAGGAAAATTCTGTTTTCTACGATATTTAATCGTGTGTAAAACAGCGTAACATTTAATTATTGTTTATTAAATGGCCACTTCAGTTCAGCTTTAACTTTAATTTTAAGACTTAACTTAATGCTGTAGTGAACGTATGCGGAAGGCCGTTTCTTTTTTTCTGGGGGCGACCAACCATATGCTGTTTCTTAAAATAAACGTGGAATAGTTAATAGTTTAATAATCTTGAAAGAATCAGGAATTCTGGAAAAGGAACAATTTTTATACGCGGCTGACTTAAAATTTGATAATACTTTCATGTAACTAAATTACTAATTCCATGAAACCTTGGCTTTCTCGTGCCTACTTAAACCCTAGTTCCCTATCTTTTCAGCAACACTCTCAAGAAATTAGAATATCCGGAAGATTTTTATGCGTTATTCTATCCCATTTCGATCATATCTGTATAGATAATTCCATAAGCAACAAAGACGGTCCGTTTATTTATAACTCTTCAATAGAAGCAGAACCGATCGCCTACTTCAAAGTAACAGGCTTGCCTACAAATTTATAGAACTGAGCTCGAGCAGTTCCAAATATGAAGCAGATTAGTATCGAGTTTACGCTAGTAACCCAAGCTGACGGGTTGCAACCTCTATCAAGTATTCCGAAACTCTCTAGGTAGACAGTCGCTTCTGCCGTTGGGTTCCTTGTGGATCAAAGGGGCTTTTTCGTATCCGAACATGCGCCCCCAAAGGGAAGTTGCGCGAATCGAAGGAGCTGTGGTATCCTGATGATAGAGCAAAGAGCAAGTATTCAAGTTAGGTCGATCGAGTAAAGGAGGGAAATGAGGGGGTACAAGTTGTTGAGCTGAATAGCATTAGCATTGCATTACATATTTACGATGACGATAGGCGGCGAACAGAAGAGTAATTGAAGCAGCGAGTGGTCGCGCAGACTTGAGGAGCCGCAAACACCCGCCAGCCGCTTCTCTCAGCGAGCGAAACAGAACCTCCTATTCGAGGAGGATAGACATGCGCAATAAACGCTCAATGTGAACAGACATGAAACGATATAGGTCGAGTATATCCAGTAATAATCTGGGCAGACTATCGCGCATTGTTATAGGGCGGGGGAAGCAAAGGGTGGTTCCGGTTAACGGAACATATTAAAAACTACGTATATGAAAAGAAAGTGTTGCAACACCTAAACTTCAATATAGGTCTAAATAAACAAGGAATCTGATGAGAAAAATAAATATTTTATAACTTCAGGTAGGAACATACAGTTTTTTGTTTTTCCATGCAAGGGTTGGCCCAACAAAAAGAAAGCGCAGCGTTCCCCTTGAACTTTACCAACAAATTAAGTTATTATAAATTCCATATTACTCTCCATAACCTTTTTTCCATCCCCTAATCAACTTATTTCCTCCTCCTTGTCAGAAATTTTCAAATCCGCTGCTGACAAGCTCATTCAGTCAGGAGACCCCTATTCGGTTTTAAGTCTGTGGTTTTTAGTTTTATTTGCTAGTTATAGGAAAAGGTGGTAAGCCATCGCTTAGAGATCTAGAGAACTTGGTAGATGCAAAGGAACTTTCCCACAAGATCCTGCAGAACGGCCTGGCATTGCTGCGGAGAGATATGATTTTGCCTCATCTATCAGGTCTTCCCTGTAGGGTAGCCTCGTTCATTGGATGCGAGTGAATTGTAACTGTTCGCTGTTATCGTACTGTTCTCTTCAGGCGTTCCCCAATATAGAAGACCTTTTCAGTCCAAATAAACGGAACGATCGTTTTTATAAGATGGAAATCTGAATGTCTTCTGAGTTTGAGTAGTTGAGTTTGTTTCATAAGCCTGACGTGCTTGTGAATATTCATAAAACTGCAATTCATCCTCGCTCGATTTACAAATCATTTCCGACTTTCTCCTTCAAAAGAGCTTTTAATCAACTTCCGTCGTCATCAGATGGCTGACTGGGGCGGTTCTCATGCCATTCTCGAACTTAGCAAACCAGTTTTAAACAGCCCTCTCGATTATAAACTCGTTGCTGCACCGCAAAATACTGCTCCGACACCTGTTCAATTTCGACAAAAGGCAAAATAGAATAAATGTCAAAAATGTACTTTTTTTTTTTCCTGGATCCTTTAATCTTGGAACCCAAACTCGACATGTAAACGCTTTTGTTTCGCAATCAGATCACAATACATTCGTAGCAAAGAGAGGGCGCTTTTGAATGGAACGTAGAAGCAAATAAACGGCGAACAAATGTGAGGACCAAAGAACACTAAAAACGCACCGAACGTATTTGTGTTAATATGCTTAACGTTAATACATTTTGCGAAGAGACTATCAGTAGAAGGCAATAATAAAAATCGCAAACACGCATAAAGAAAGTAGGTTTCGATTTTCGTTGTATATACACACAAATATCAAATGCAAGTTGAGATACTTCCTACAAAACACATCCTCTTAATAGTGTACACAAGGCCCCGTCAAGACCATCGCGGACAACTGGTAGTCATAAATATAGTCTCAAGTTAGCAGCTGCATATATTTTAGCATAAAGACACTGTTCTGGACAATATCTATTATGTCTTCGTCGAGCTGATGTTTTCGAACGTAGCGTCTTACACATGAACCCCAGGGCCTTCGTCATTTTCTCATAGGCTTTTGGAGGTTACTACGTCTTCGGGTTCATACTGGCAACGACTGAAAGCGGATGCAATCTACAGATGGGGCAGCTGACGAAGTGTCTAACTCGGCTAGAGGCTTAGAAGACGCCCAGGCCGGTCAGACTATTCGCTCGGGACAGAAGGGTGTGTTCAGGAACTCATCGACAGAAAAGAAGCACTCTCGTTGCTGCTGTTATCCACTGTCCGTATTGAAAGACAGATGCGACGGTGGTTGAGTTGCTAGGGGTAAAAAGGCTGTCCGTCGCCTCTATGAAGGCAAATTGAGGGCCAGACACGCTGGAGCCAGAAGCGGCCCTAATGGCCCTTGTTCACATGTAGTGAGTAGGCTGCTATAACAAAAACAACAAGAACCCTTGTTCTGTGCCAAAATCTGTATTACTTGATGGATAGCAGCAGAATATCTGCCGAATGCTCTACGTTAGTTTGCGCTTAATGGACAGCATTTATTTGGTTAAACCCAGAGGACTACTACAGTATGTTTAAGTGTAACCACAAAGAAGGGTGCCTCGCGTACTTTAAGAATACCATGAAGTACTATACACACTTGTGCTAGCGATGAGGCTAAATCTAATCGAAATTTTGTTAGCAATACGGGCATCCACTCTCTACAGCAAAATCCAACATGGAAAATTATAAACACCTCAATTTGCACTCCATCTGATTTTAAAATAAACCAAGCAGAAAACAACGTGCGCTTGACTGGTACGAACGCTCACTAAACCACAGTTAGGGCGCATTATGCCGGTAGACACGTTTCTAGCTGACCGGAGTTCGCAATTTATCTCAGCGGTTTTCAACGTATGTATAAGACACTAAGATTATGCAGTTCTATTCATTTTATAAATAATAAGTATACATTTTTAGCTAGTGATGTAGCGTTATTCCATTTTACCTACACTGATAAAGTTACAAGGCAGAAAATGTATACTGCTTAGACAAACATACGCTCCGTAGATGCCGTAGTGTGTGTGTTTCTACATGCTAGAATAATTTCTCTTAGTGTCACTTTTCATCACTATAGTCGAACGATCTCACAACAATAGCGAGCTGTCTGTGACTTATATTTGAAACGAAGTGGCAGGCTTGTCGTTTTAAAACTTTATGAATGTTCCACACATATCAGCGTATTTTTCTTTTCTTTTCAACGTCCGATATTTTCCATTTGATATTTTCCGGACTTGGAACCCCACATGTTTCTTCGCTATTCGAATAGGTTACTCTCCTCTGTTTCTGGAGCTTCCATTTTAAATCAATTCTTTACCCGCTACTCTTGCCCGGTGTCCGCTTTTCCTCCCTTGGCTGTAGCAACTCGGTTTGCCTTGCGAAAATCGTAATACGCCGCGCTCAGCTGCCTGCTTGCGCGATTCTCTACGTAGAACTCTCTATGCACTTGAGAAATATCTGATTGCGTGCATGACCCTGTGCACGTCGGCGGTACGATGATAGCTTTTTCCTTCCTATATATTTTTGCTGTCCGAACCCTGTTGGTTCAGACATCGCAGTCTATCCTGATTCTTTCGGACTTTCATGTGCGCTGTTCTGCTATTCGCGGAGTCAGCGAACAAATCATGGCCACATGTCGCCTAGTCGTCCTGTTAAGGAAGGACACAGAAGGAGAAGGTTGACGTAGCGGCCAGCGAAATGCCCAAGAACGTCTTGATCTAGGCATCGTTCACGAGACATCCCTTCCCCGGCCCCGGTCAGCCACAGTTCGTCTGCTCCTTTGCAGAAGCAATATGGGCCAACGGCCAAGAAATGGTAGAAGACAGGCCAAGCTGGGTATTCATATGGAGATTATGCCGCCGCCACAGTTGGATTGCGGTCACGGCGCATTCGATAGAGAAGAGTACGACATATAGCGAGACAAAGAGAGG